ATCAGGAAGACAAGAAGATGAGAAGGAAGGGCAGCTAACAAAGGTGTTCTCCAAAGGAGACTTCAGGCCAGCCCTCCCCCCCAAAACAACTTCCCCCCCCAAAAAAAAAACATCAAACAACAAAAAAGAACAAGTTGAATTTTTGAATTAAAATTAGTTATTGACTTCCCTTGTCCCTTGGCAGATGGCTTTGTGTGGTCCTCAAGGTCTCCACCATGAGATTCAGAGCAAGCGCCTTTTCTGAGCAGTTGTTCAAGAACTTAAGTGTGATCCCAAAGGAACTTCTGTGGCTGGTGACCGCACCTGATTTGCTGGAGTCCCCTGTCACACATCACTGCCAGGGCTATTTGCTTAGGTGTGGTCCTTGAGTGAGGACATTGTATTCTCAAATGTGAAGTCATTTTCTGCTGTGAAGGATTTGGGAACAACTGTTGGTTCCACCTTCCTCTTCCTCCAGAACTAAAGGGAGGAAGGGCTCCCAGGCAGTTCTCTCTGCTCTCAGCAGTACTTCCAGCCATGTGACCTGGTAAAGGCTCCTGGGAAAACTCAGTGCTAACTAGCATTAAGGAGTTATATGGCTTGAGGTACAAAGGCAATTCCAAAGCATTGCCACTAAAACTAAAACAAAACAAAAAACAAAACAAAAACAAAACAAAACATGCTCAAGTCGTCGAGAAGGCAGTTGTGGGTGTGCCATTGGAATTTATGTCCATTTGGGGGATAAACAATCACTTCCAGTCAGACTCTGATATGAGTTGAGAGTTTCGTATCAGCCCAGAGTTGTTAATTGCACTTTAACAGATGGAGTTGCTGAAAACCATTTGACAGAGAAAAGGTGGCTTGGTGGAATGCTGACTTTTGGAGCAATTACCTGAAATCCAAGAGCAAGCCCTCACAAAACCTCCTGCACATTCAGAGCATACAATGTCCTCACTCAAGGACCACACCTAAGCAAATAGCCCTGGCAGTGATGTGTGACAGGGGACTCCAGCAAATCAGGTGTGGTCACCAGCCATAGAAGTTCCTCTGGGATCACACTTAAGTTCTTGAACAACTGCTCGGAAAAGGTGCTTTCTCTGAATCTCATGGTGGAGACGTTGAGAACCACACAAAGCCATCTGCCAAGGGACAAGGGAAATCAATAACTAACTTTAATTCAAAAATCCAACTTGTTCTTTTTTTGTTGTTTAATGTTTGTTTGTTTGTTTGTTGAGACAGGTCTCTGTGTAGTCTTGGCAGTCCTGGGACTCACTCTGTAGACCAGGCTGGCTTCAAACTCAGAAATCCACCTGCCTGTGCTTCCTCTGCCTCCCAAGTACTGGAATTAAAAGCCTGTGCCACCACCACCTTGCCCAACTTATTCTAAGGTAACAGCCTTGAAAATGGTTCTCAGAGCTGAAAATGGTTCTCAGAGCCAAGCACAGTGATGTACTCCCACCATCCCAGGACTTGGGAGGTGGAGGTAAGAAGGCCATCCTCTGCTACATAGTCAGAGTGAGTTCCAGGCCAGCCTGAGCTATATGAGACCTCGTCTCAGAAAAGCAGGGTGCGTGGGTAAGATGGCAGGAAAGGTACATGCCCCTAAGCCTAATGACCTATGTCCTGGGACCCACAGGATACAGAGACCCAACTCGCATCTGTTGTCCTCTGACCTCCATGAGTGGGTGGTAGAAACACACATACACACACACACATACACACACACACACACACACACTAAATAAATGTGAAATTAAAAACTTACAAAGAAAGAAAAAAAGTAAAGTGATTTTCCTCTTAAATCATTCATATGAAAATCTATTCACCTATGTCTCAGAATTAATGTATCTAAATTATATCTCAGCACATGAGGCCCTGAACAGAGGGACAAAGATGATTTCCCAGTTTCCTTATAACAGAACTGGGTGCCCAGATGCCTGGAGCCAGCCTAGAGCAGGGCAGGTCCAAGGTGGCAGCCTTACCTTGGACTGTGCTGTGGGTTTTAGCAGATCCCAGGACACCTTAAACTCCTCCACTTACAAATCAAGCCGAAGTTCTCTTCTGGGCTCCTGCTTGAAAGAGTGGGTCAGAAGTTTTTCTGTTCACCTTTTTTATAGACCCCACAAATCACCATGGACTGTGACGCTTCCTAAAGATATCCCAAAAGCCACATGCTGTAAGAATGGGCCCTTCACCACCTCCTTGCAGGAATTTCTCAAAGCACCCTTTGCTATGGTACTTCAGATTTCTGTGAGGCCTCAGCCCCTGAGACCTAAAAGGGTCTTTCAATCCTCACTCCTGGAGGTAAAAATGTGCTCCCCAGTATGGTGCCACCAGAGGTTGAACCCCAATCTCACACTATCCATGCCTCACCTGGAATGGAGCTGGGACTTCTGAGAGTCTGTGTGTTTCTTGAATCTGCTAAGTGAAAGGAAACCAAGAGCATCCTGGGTACTGACACAACCTCATGAGGCCCAGATGCTCAGCAGCTGAGGGAAGGGCATTCCTCAGGGAGCCCAAGATGAAGACATGGAACACAGAGAGGGGTATGTGCGGGTTGGGGGGGGGCATACTGAGGGCCTAAGAAAATCTGGAAAAATCAGTCAAGACCTGAAGGAGGCGAGGGGTCAGCCTGGCAGTGTCTGGAGAAGAGACTTAGGGACAAAGGAACACCAAGTGCAAAGACTGAAAGCCATGTTCAGTGTGACCAGAACAGACAGGTGGGAGATGGGGGCCAGGGATGGTAAGAGAAAGCTAGGGAGGCAAGATCAACTGGGAAGGAGCTGTCACACTGGCCACATGTCACATGTATTGCACCACCATTTTTGTGAAGCCTTATTGAAGACAGTACTCTAAGATGTTTAATAAAGACCAAGGTTCTTTTTCTTTATAATCCACTACCTTTAAAGCACGTTGACACACTGTTGTGATCTCAAATTGGCGGCTAGTGCCCCAGACATTGCACATTATATCTGCACAAGACAAGAAGGCAAGGGAGACAGCTCGTCTTTCTACTAAGAAAACTAAAGTTTTCTCCACCCTCCCCTCAAGTCCCTTCTTCCCTGAATTCCTTCTCCTCTAGATGCCCAAAAGTGAGTGTGGAGACCACTTCTAAGTTCAAAGTAACTAAGAAAGCCATGATGCGGATTATCCAGATTGACTGAAACTAGTTCCCCCCACCCCCGACGGTGGTACGTATTTTATGCCACAATCTAATACACACAGCTGAAGCATAGATAACAAAGCAGAACTTCTGCAAAATACAACATACGATGTATGCTGTACCCCGATATTTTATCAGTTACCTGTTACAACTCTAGCCAGTTCTTGCAGATTGGGTGTAGCACGAAAATACAGGCAGTTGTGATCCATCACTAGCTGGCTGCTGTGCCTAGTAGGTGGCCTTTGCTCCAATGTCTCTCCCTCCCTACCCCTCCTTCCTTCCCTCCATTCTTCATAGAAGACGGGGATGTTCTGTAGGAAACTGTGGGGAGCCACAGTCTCCATCGTAGTAAGAGGGAGCCAATACTGGGCAGCAGGGCGGCCCCTCCTACTTAAGGAACAGGAGTGTCTGTGAAAGGCAGTTTGTTCTCCAGAGGAAATATAAGCATTTAACCAGGGCCGCTGAAGACTGGAGCAACAGCAGCCCAGACTGGCAGCACATGTCAAACATTCAAGGAGGGTGCAGGACACCTGAGGCCTGTGTCCCAAGCCAGGTGACACGACAGGGTGAACTGGGGCAGAGAGCATGATTCATGCTGGAAAGCCCCAGGGAGACTTGCCCTCTGCACGGGCTGTTTACTTCTTCAGCTGGGCAGGGATGGATTGGAGAAGTTGGGAGTTACGGTGGAATTTCGTGCATTTGGTGGGTCCAAACTTTTAGGAGCACACAACTAATGATCTCAGTTCTGATGATGCCCAGCATTTGGGCTGTGGAAAGAAACATGTATTCCAACAGGTCACCCACCACAGGAAACCCGGGTTGGCAGAGAATGGATCACTCTCTAGGAATACAAGCAAAGGCTAAGTTGAAGAGAGACTGCGGTCTGGCCATCGTTAGCCTGCTGCAGGAAGGGAAATAGGTACAGAGAGTCTGTGACACAGGAAGTAAAGGGCAGAGCACAATCTCTTTGCCATCTCTTCACCAGCCATAATTGGCAGTGCACTGAATTGGGCTTCATAGACTCTAATGCCGCCTGTTTTCAAATATGTGAGTGCCCACACTTTTAGAAGACCCATTCCATACTCTAAAATGGCCCTGTGACTCTAAGCGGGTTAGAAACCAGGAGCTGAGCTGAGCTGAGACGATTTACGGTGCAGGGGAGGGCAAGAGGTCCTGAGGTCAGGACTGGGAACCATGAAATAAAACAGCCAACAAAGCTCCCTTGCCTCACAGCTGCCCATCTTCCCTAAGCTCCCAGCCTATGGCCTGGGGCTCTGCCTCAGTGCTGGCCAATCTGCACAGAAGACTGCGACAGAGAGAGGAAGCTAACCTTTTTAATTCACCATCTCCGATTTCTTAATGCAGCTTTTAGAGAAGCCACAACTTTGCTTGCAGGTGCCACCTGAACAATAAATAAATGTCCCGGGCTTCACGCGCACGAACACACACACTCCACCCTCCCTAGGATGCGCACAGGCTCGGCAGTAGCGCCTGCGCAGAGGTCTTTGTTGAAACCCAAGTATCTGTGTAACCCAGGCTCCCTGGCCTCCGCCTGTAAACAGGCGGCCCCTGGGGGCCCAACCCTACTGCTTTCTCTGTGCATCGTGGGGTGCCCTCGAGGATTGGGGACTTAAGTGGCTCGCGGAACGCTTAATGCTGTCCATAAAGTTCGAACAAGAGAGCAAATGCTCGGGGTCTTCTTGAGGGGGATCATTATCAAGCACCCTGGAACGAAGAGAGGGGCTGATAGGCAATGCTGTTGACCAGAGAGAAGGGGCGTGCCCAGAGCGAAGAGGGGCGTGTTTGGGGGCGGGAAGAGGTGTGTCTAGGGTGGGCTGGGGCGGACTTGATCCCTGCAGCAGATGCAGGGCTCTGGAGTCTGTACCGGCACAATTCTGTTGCAGGCGAACTCTCTTGCTGGTGGCCTCTGGACCGCGCGATGACTGGACGGTGAGTGATGCTCAGACTGCAAAGGTAGTGGGCGTCCTTGGAGCACCCCACCCTCGACCCTGAGGCCGCGATCAGACAGGACGCTAGAGTCTGAGCACTTGTACCCCCAGCCGCAGTGCGCGAGTCGAGTCTCCTCCCCTTGCCAGCCTGGCGCACTGCGGGCTTCCAGCCAGGGCTGAGGGTGGCAGGGCTCCTAACATCTCCTAGGATGAGGCACTTTAGGGCTAAATCTTAGCAGGACACGTGAATCCAACGGCCGGCTACAGTTGTGCTCACCTCAGCCTCCTCAGCCAGCTTCCTAGAGAGAGGAGGCGGGAAGAGGGTTTCAGCAGGACCTTAAGATTTTAGCTGGAAAGCCAACGCTAGGATGATAACTCATCCAGACACTTGTTTCTCCATTGCTGTTGGTGAGGTGGGCCATAACCAAAAGGTTACACAATCTGCCACTCACTTCTAGTTTCAGGGCTAAACTCCACCTGTCTCCTGATTCTTAAGGGCTCCTCCTCTTTGAGTTCCCCATTCCCTCCTCAGCACGTGGCTATCTCTCTGAAGCCTGAAGCCCAATATCAACAGTGTTTGTTATGGATGAAGCCCTAAGATCATAGTTGTTTAACTGGTGATGAACTGCGGTTTGAAAATAGAAAGGGTTTGACAGGGTCATACAACCCTGTCAGGGTAAGCTTTGAGCCCAGACCCTTGGGAAGGTTGAGTTGTTAAACCTCAAGTATTATGTTGAAAATACTTGAAATTATCTTTATCATCATCATCATTATTATCATTATTATTATTAATGTGTGTATGAGACAAACAGACACACACACACGGGGTGGGGGAAGGGGTGGGGGAAGGGAGATCACATATGCATGTGTACCTGTCCATGCTGTGGGTCACGTGCATGCCCTGGTGCATGTGTGGAGGACAACTCAGTTGGAGTCATTTCTCCCTGTCCACTTTTCCATGACTTCTGAGGACTCGGCTTAGGTTCTCGGGCTTCGGCAGCAGGGACTTTACACATAGAGCTGCCTCGCCAGCCCCAGCCCTTGAAACTGTTTAAAAGCAACCTATCAGCAACTAGGAAATGGCTGCTGGCCTAAAGCTTTTGCAATTTCCCCAAACTTGTAGTTCCCTGAATCTCCTTCCTGCCTAAGGGATTTCCCCTGGGACATACCCTAAGATAGAATCGGAGCCCCACCCACCCCCTTGCTTGACCTTTGGGAGCAAAGATGGACTGTGGTATAGCCCCGTAACGGCAGTCCTAAGGAGAGGCTCAGGGACACTCTATACCAGCTGCCAATACAACTAACCAACTCAAGGCCTAGAGATGGCACAACAGTTGAGGTCACACACCAAGTCAGTGACAAAGAAAATCTCAGCCAGAATGTTTCTCTGAGTCGCAACAAACATTCTCAGCCTGGTATCTGGGGCAAGTGGACACAGGCATACTGATTGACTTACGGTTGTATGATCATCGGGGTGTGTGTGTGTTTGTATGTACACATGAGCACAATCACACACATTTTTCTTGTTCAGGGATGGAGGTGTTGTTTTCAGAGGAATCCATGTTCCAAGGGATTCTAAGACATAGCAACTGGTCTCCAGAGAAGCCTCTCATAGCATCTGCACATGGTGCACAGACTAAGCCAAAGGTCACATGCATATAGCAGATATTACGGTGTTGAGAACAACCTGGTAGCAGCTAGCACCAAGTAGTCAGAGGGTCTGCTCAGCTGGGCTGCATTCCTGGACCCAAACAATCTGAGTATCTGTTTGGCCCCAAACCATAGCTGGGAGGATTCCTGTTTCCATGAGTCGCCTCTTCAGTCGTTAGGGGGTGAGCCTGGATTGGAGTGGTAGGGACACAGGGCCAGGGAGTATGAGAATATTGCAAGAGGGGAAGAGAAACGGTTGGAAATTACTTTATTACCTCAGCTTACAGGAAAGAACACTGGAGGGCAGAAACCAGCAATCTGTCCAGCAGGTGTGTGGGTGGGGCCCTGCCTCTGGGCTGCAATTTACCTCAGGAAGTCACAAGGGAGGAGAGATAGCTGCAGAGGGGACAAGGACAAGGACCTGTGTCTTCACAAGAAGGGAAACATTGCCAGGGATGCCTACATGGCAGAACGGGTTCATATAAGGCCACCAGGACCAGAGGGGTCACATGGTAGAGGTGACCTGGCTAGGATAGTTGTCTTAGGAGGAATGGAGATTGTGATAGCTGTGCTTTGTCTGGCTTCCCTGGATCCCTGTCACCTCCAGCTGGCAGTGTACACATCCTCTCAGGGATTTCTCAACTGCTGGGACTGAGCAGCCTAGGACAGGAGTAGGAGGGGGTGTGGCCGAGTCAGAGGTGGGTAATGTCAGGGGACAGAAGAGAGGCCATTGCAATTGAACAGCAGGAGAGGGCAGCAGCTGCTAAGTGGCTGCCTGCGGTTAGTAGCAGGCTATCTAGGTGGCTATACAACTAAAGACAGACAGCCTGTGTCCAGCCGGATCCCCTCAGCAGACAGCTGGCTACTCTCTTGGGAAGCTCCGGCTCTGTGAGGGCTGACAGGTGCTGGAATGGCCTTTTAGAGGCTCATTGTTTTCAGTGTCTGGGCTCCTGTCCCCAGCATTAGGAGCAGGGACCACGGGCTTCTCAGTTGTGCAGGGCAGTGTAGCCTGCATCTGCCTCCCTTCTGGCCTAGCAGCCCTCCCTGTGGAGGCCCTTGGCTGTGTCTGGCCCTGTCTCCTTTGTCTTGCTACTCAAAGTACTTTATTTCTTAATTGGTTTGCATTGACAAATCGTGCCAGAAAAGGTTAGAACAGAGACTGCCAAGCTCTCTGGTTTCACTGACCAACTTAAATTTTACTGTAGATGTTGACCCATTGCCCATATTGCTAAGTGAGGACAGTACTGTCTACATTCACCACAGTTTGGGAAGGGCCCTCTATAGACTGAAAAGCAGGCTGCCCCTAGGCTCATAATAAAAGGCTGTTAGGTGCACGCGAGTCATTTCCTGAGTGTTCCACTAAAGTGGTATCCATCCCCTTACTCCTGCAGCTGATCCAGAGGGACTAGATCCCATAGTGATGTCAAGAAGCAGAGTGGCCTTTTGTGGAAAAAAAGGAAAGGGGGCCTGGACCTAGGAGTTGTAAAAGCTTCTGTGGCCTTTGTCACTCCACGGCAGGCTGTGTGCCAGCTGTCACTGCCTCTGAGTGCTGGCAGAACAGAGCAGTCACTGAAGCAGAAAGTCTGGACAACTCACCCATTGTCTGTTCATAGAGGGAAGGTAGCCAGGTATGCCATACTGCCTGAGGCTCCTCTGAGAGGCAGAGAGAGCATCTATCTGCCAGAGAAGTGAGCTCAGAGGCCTGAGCTGTGCTTGCTGGAGTGTAGGGGGCAAACAGGACCAGGACAAAGGCTGCTGGGGGAGGGGAACGGCCCTGCTGAATTGGCCTGTCCGGTTTTATCAGGGGCTGCTTTTCAGACTTGCCCGGGTGGCAGGCCAAGCCAGCTGTATCCTCTCCTCTCCTATTTCTACTAAGAAGCATCGATCTGCGCATTGAGTTTCTGATAAGATTATGATTGTGGGTTTTTATTGCAAATGAGTGAAAGTAGGCCATTGGCGAGGCTTGGGTTTAGACACCCTGTCCAGGGAACAGGGAGGTTCAGCCATTTCAAGAAAATGCCCCAAATAGAGAGACACTCCACTCTGCTTCCCAGCAGTAGTGGATGTACGCCCTCTTCATCCTCTTTCTCCCTGGCAGCAGTGGTCTCTAGGTCACCCTTAGGTACACTGCCACTCACTGAGATACTGTGGGCTTGAGAGTGGGTGACTGCAGGCTCCAATCAACCCCATGAAGGATCTTAAAGGCAAAACCATGCTCACATGTTACCAAACCCAGAGTCAGAACCTGTGCCCCAACTCAACGGTGGCCTCCCGTCTCAGTACACAGATTCAAAGACCCAAGTTGAAATGGAAAATTGAACTGGTGCGCACGCGCCTTTAATCCCAACACTCAGAAGGCAGAGGCAGGCAGCTCTCTTGAGCCTGAGGCCAGGCTGGTCTACAGAGCGGGTTTCAGGACAGCCAGGGCTGCTAGACAGAGAAACCATCTCAAAAAAAGAAAGTGAAAAACAGAAAAAGGGGGATTCATTCAATGTGACCACACTGGGAGGAGGGACAACAAAAGCCAGAGAACCCCACAAGTCTACATTACCTCCATGAAGTACAGTGGATATTTGAATAGAGGGTCGGGGATATACACTTCTAATTAGACCTGGTTAAGGTGTGGTCCTGCCCACCTTTGACCCAGCCTTGTCTGGGCTTCAGTTTGGTCCTGTAAGGTTGTGTAACCTGTATTAAGACTCTGTGAAATCTCTTTCTGAGAGATAAATTCCCTTCTGGTTCCCCTTTTCCTTCACAGTATGAGCTTTCTGGGGAAATTCCCATTTACTTGAGGTTCATTGTTTCAATAGTCCTCTAGGCAGATTGAAAGACAACGTAATGTATCTCTAGAATATCTTCATTTCTGCAAGGCTAGTTAAACAAATAAGGAGAGGGGAGTCTGTGGGACACCCCAAAGCTCAAACTCTGGAGCTCAGTGGAGATGGAGTATGTAGTGCCACTCAGGGAGGAAGTAGTTGACATCCAGGGAAGCCAGGAGACTCACTGAAGGCCAGGGAGCTGATGAGAGCTACTTAAATCATGTGCTGTCCCGGTACAGAGGCTGTTTTGCTAAGGACCCAAGTCTCCTCCCCCATGAGACCGATAACCTGTAGTTGCAACCTATAATTTTGAGAGCCTGTTTTGCTGAACTGGTGTTCCTTCCTCCCTCTGACTCCTCCCCCTGGTGCTCCTTCCTCCCTCTAACTCCTCCCCCTGGTGCTCCTTCCTCCCTCTAACTCCTCCCCTACTGCATCTTGATTATGCCTCCGTGTCCTCCTGCGATGCTGCGCCACACTCCTTCCCTGCCAAGCTTCTCTGTTTACCCTATAAGAAACCTGCCCCAGCTTCCAT